GTCAACTTTAACTATTTAGATTGCTTCAACTATTCAACTATTCCTTTGACTTGAGTTAGTTGCATTTCAAAGGAGACACAAACTCGGATTAGAAGCCCATTGTGAGAAAGTATAATTAAAATTTTTGCTTATGCTAGATAACTAGTTCTATGAAGAGAACAATATATCTTTCATCAACATTTCTCAATGAAATTGATCTTCCTTAAAAACACATTTCTCTAACTTAGATCGCAGTGGTCCAGGTATAACTAGGAAGTGTTGATCAATGTGTTGAGGCCATGGAGAAGGGCACTTCAACCATATAAGCCATTGATTCCATACTGTGACCACCATAGAACATGTGTAGAACAGGTGGGATGTTGTTTTTATATAGGTTTTGCAAAATCAACATAATCGATGTTGAGGTTCTAACTGAATATTCCTCCTAAGAAGGTTCTCTTTAGTTGCTAAAGCATTGGTAAACAATCTCCAGACAAACTTAGAGACTTTCGGGGGGATATAGAGGTTCCAAATACGTGCAAGTAGTTTTTGTCTGTCATTGGGTAACCTCTAGAAAATTAAGAGTTTGTATGTAGACTTTACAGAAAATTTTTGGATGGTTCAGGCTTCTAGCACCAAAAGTCATTCTCCAACTTCTTAATGGAGAAGGTATCTGAGACCTATTGTAGTAAGGCAATCTGGTTTGCCTCCCCTCTAAGAATACACTATGTCTCTCATCAATCACCGATGGTAGTACTTTATTCAGTCTATTAGCCAAAATCTTAGCTAGGGTCTTGTACAAGCAACCAATAAAATAGGCATGTAGTCACCTAATGATTGGGGGTCATCAACCTTAAGGATTAAGGTTATGAACGTTGAGTTTGTACCTTTTGGTAGTTTACCATCTGCATGAAATTCTTTCACCATTCTTACGATATCCTCCTCCAAAGTTTCCCAAAATTATTTAATAAACTTGAAGTTAAATCCATCTGGACCTGGGCTCTTTGAGCTACCACAATCTCAAACTGCCATTTTGATTTCCTCTACACCAATAGAAGTCATTAACTGACTATTTTCCCTGACTGAGATCTGTTTGAATTGAATGCCATCTAGAAATGACCTCTGCCAAGGTTGTTCCATAAATCTGTTATGGAAGAATTCTTTCGCTTGGAACTTAACCTGTTTTGGATCTTCCACCCACTTGCCATCAACAAACAGGCCTTTTATTGAATTTTTTATCCGTCTCCAATTTACCATCCCATGGAAAAATTTTGAATTCTTATCCCCTAATTGTAACCAAGAGACTCTGGCTTTTTGCGCTACTATTGACTCATTACGTGTGGCCACTTCCCATAATTTCTGTTGCAACTCCCTCTTCAATAGAATTTCCTCCACTGTTAAACCTACTAATTCTTCTTTTTTATCCAAATCATTTATTTTCCCTGCAATAGCATTGTGTTGAGTCTCTGGATCAGTTGACATCCTTGTGTACCATTCTCTCAATGTATTTTTAAGCTGTTTCAATTTCTCTTTAACCACAATGCCCCCCACCCATGTACATTTGTCTCTTCCCATGTTTTTTCCACCAAGGGTCGAAAATCCTTATACTGCAACCAGTAATCTAGGAATTGAAATGGTTTGGGCCCCCAATCCATTTCTAAATTTTTTAGCAAAATTGGGCAGTCGTCTGAAATATTCCTATTCAGAACAAGTTGTGTACTCCTTGTCCATTGATCAAACCATTCTCTAGAAACCAAAATCCTGTCAGTCCTACTTTTGGCTCTGCCATTTGGTTTGTACCATGTAAACAACCTACCAATCAGTGGAACATCTACATTGTCTAGATCTGAAATGAATTTGTTGAAATCTCTCACATCTACTGCACCAACATTATCACCATTGACTCCCATTCTCTCTGTAGCCTTCCTTACATTGTTAAAATCCCCCATCAAACACCACCATTTTATATTAATTCTATCTCTTCTTTCTTTTAGCTCTCCCCACAGTTGTCTCTTGAGAGGATTCACATGGTGCATATATGTTGACAATTACTACTTCAATCCCTTTTTCTTTCCATATCCCCACCAACCCCAAAAAACCTGAACCTTGAAAGTGATCAATGACTTTTACTTTTGTCTAACTCATATACATAGTAATCCCCCAACTGTCTTAACTACAGGGGTCAATTTCCACCCATATGCCCCCTCCCACTTCACCCTACAATCATTGACATAGATTCTCAGATATGTCTGCCTTTTTTGTTTCCTACAGACACAATGTTCTTCGATGATCATTTTTCGTGTAATACGCCACTTGACCTTCCCCCCTAGGCTTCTCACATTGAAGGAAATAGCTTTCATTGATCACCCATATAATTCCCCTCTCGGTTTTGATTACTCATTCTCAGTCTGTCTTGTTTATCCCTTTCTTATAGTTCTTCCAATTTCTTAATTACACAATTCTCATCCCCTTTATAAGTCAAACCCATAGTCTTGCCAATTTCCCATTTTTCTTTTTTGCATCTGATACATCTTTGTTCAACTAGAAAATTCTATTACAATTTCTAACCTTTTGCAATCAGAGAGAGAATTGTTGAATGAGTGAAAAGCGAGCCTTACTTGCTTTCTCCTTACGGTAGCAATTGATGCTATATAGTGAGCAACTGTCATAGACACTATAGGGATGCCTCCCTCTATCGACGTTGCCTCTCTTCTTGTTTTTGTCATGCTTGTGTCAATATGTGCTCTCCCTCGTTACACCTATCGATTTGTGATCTTACTTCTGAATTCTCTTGGTTATCCATTCGTGAAGCACTACCTCTAACCATAGCAAGATAGCATCCCACCCTTGAAACAAATTTGCCATTTTCCATTCTCAGAATAGAATGATTTCCTTTATCGTCCACCTCCTATAACCATCACATCTATAATTGTTCCATCTTGGGATGATTGGTAGCTTTAGGTTGTATACTGATGGTTTGCGGATTGTGTTTATTACCAATCTCATTCAACATTAGGTTAGGCCCTCCCTTGTGACACAAATTGGGCCAACCGAATTAGGTCCAAGTGTTTGTTGTAAAGTACTAAACAGAACGGGGGTAATCAACTTACTACGCTTCGTTGCACATGAAGCGGTTACATGGGCCTTGTGAGGATTTGTAGCCACATCGACATTATTAACTATGTATCTAGTCATCGTAATCCTTCTTTTTAAGTTACTTGTTTCATGCAACTCCTCCTACACCACTCCTTCAAGTCCTATCCTTATGTCCTCCTCCCCCATACTTTCTCCAATAAGCCACTTTTTGTACCCTTACTACTACCAAGATGAATGTGGATTGGTCCAACTACCCTCACATGAGTAGGGAACTGTTGGTCCCAAATCATTGGATAAAAATTTGAAATTTCATTTTCCCTCCAATTGTTACTGTCCTCTACCATGGCTGCACCTTCCATTTCCACCCATGTGTTATTCTCTGAACATTCAGAGGACAACAAACATAAATTAACTACCATTTTACTTGTAGTCGAAGACACAGTTTCAACGTCGTTTCTCCAAAAGTCGCACTTATAATGATCGTTGTTCATTGTCACCTCCTCAATGACCCTTATATGTATTATTACCCCATTAATTTTAACCTCACTATGATGTTGAATTGGTAGTATTGCATAAGTTTTAATCAATAATCTATCATAGTCAAGTCTACTAAAACTTGAGGTGTCATTGTCCACCAAGATGAGAGTCCCAACAACACTTGTTACTTTTGCAAAACAATCCTGACTCCAAAGATGTATAGGGATGCCACTACACCTTACCTAGATCATTCTATTTCCAGCCACCAAGCTAGGATCCCATTTATGTATGGAATGGAACAATTACAATATACCACAGATAGCCTCTAAGTATGATTCTTTGAGATCATCTTCTTCTACCCCCGATATCAACACCTTGTCGTGTCTCATATATCTTAATTTGATATCCTCTTTCTCATAGAATACTTTGGCTTCCTATAATCTGTCAAATAATGTCTCATCCTCAAGCCTTCCCACCTAACGTTTTTGAAGCCAGCTATTGTTTTCTTCCTTTATCGTGAATGTTGACCCATTCCACACACCTTCTCATCCTTGTTCCTATTTTGGTGCCTCCTTTTTTTTCTCTCCACACCAATTGAGGTCCTTTTAGGCGTTGTTGGGGGACTTGGGCATAAGGCCCACCTACTACAGTTGGGTTTACTGACGTTGTTCTAGGCCCTTCTTCCTTCCATCTACCACCATCAATCTTTTGTCTACTTCCATAATTGTTCCACACCCCACACTTATACCATGGAATGTTAACGTTCATCTTAACATTACCAAACCATATCTTATCCAACTGCTCCTCCAAATGCCACACATTTTGGATGTTGATAATCCTCACAAAGTCATATCGATTTCCTTTTTATTCCTCTTGTTTGCAATAAAAACCTCCCAAACTCTTCCCCATCTTTGGAACACTCTCCACAGATTCACTTCTTTGTATCCTTCTGGAAAATTTTCAAAGTAGATGGTAGTTACCCGATCGGAAG